TTTATTGCAATCCTGCTGGAGAAGGAGAACATCAGTGTGCACTCAGTCCTGTGTTGATCCCGCCCTCTGGGGATTTATACTGTATTTGGGAGGAATAGAAAAATCTTGGATCTTTCTGAATTCTAGGTTGTAGTTTTGGAGAGCCAGTTGTGTGGTCTAGTAAGAGCTAAGGGAATCTCTAAATGGCAAAAAGCTTCATTACAAATTCATCTTTTGCCATTACTGTTACACTCAACAGAACCCATAGTACAAGGTCATCATGTGTGAAAAGGTTTAAAGGTTTTCTGATTTCAAGCTCAACGTGAATCCACAGTTTGATGAAGCTACCCAGTTATGCCAAATCTTCAATAGTACTATGGTTAGATCATGAAGGAGGAAATAAGCCTAGTCTCTCTTCCCTGCTAGTTAGCCTATTTTGATTGTGAGTTCTGTTTTAGATCTTATATTCTCTTCTGATTTGTTGTTTAGGAACTCATCACCCTCACAGGAGGTAGTTCTCAGCAGAGAAGCCTCTAGGAGCCAGCCTGTCAGAATGTAGGCTTTATGCCTGTATCTGGGGCTGGGCTGGCCCAGAAGGATTTAGAACAATGAGGACCTTTGCAGGAAGGAGAAGCTATGAAGTGAAGAACATTCAACACAAGACAATAATATTTATTAAGTATCTATTATGTATATGCTATGCACTATGTTAGGTATGGAAATGGGGCAATAAATAAGATAGGTATGGTCTGTCCTCATATAACTTACAGTTTGGTGAAGAAACTCTAGCTTGGAGAAGAGGAGACTCAGGTTGTACTACATATAATTTCCAAATGCATAAGAAGTAGGCAAATCAGACTTAAATAATAATGATAGTAACAATGAAAAACACAGTACTGGCTGTCATTTATTGAACTCTTATTCTATTTTAGGCATTCTGTTAAGCTCCTTGTAGAGTTGCTCTTTTAACTTTAACAGGCTTACAAAGTTGGTGTTATTACCAGGGAAGCGGAGCCTTGGAAATGTTAAGCATTTTATTCAAGGACACACTGGATATGAGCTCATGATTTCAAAGCCCATGCTCTTAAAGTACTACTCTGTTGTTTCCTTTATTCTAAAGGTAAGAAAACTGATATATTCTTCCAAAATAAAGAATTGACTGATAGTCAGCGCTATCTTGTCATAGAATAGGCTTCTTTGGTACTTAATCAAACTCCCTATCACTGAAGATGGCAAGTAGAACACAGAATTCCACTATTGCTCAGCAAAGGGGATTCTTCTGTTAGGATGAACCAGACATTGTTCAAGGAATTTGAAGGATGAGAAAACTAGACTTCCTAGAGGAAAAGTAGAATTTGGTTAGATTGAAAGGGGTAGGACTATCAGAGTAGTGGAGAATCAGTATGAGCAAAGCTGAAGAAGCCTAGTGGGTTGGTTCAGTTAGACAGAGGACTGTGGCAGAAAACCACAGAGCAAAATGTTAGAAAGGAAAGTGGGGCTTTGATAACAAGAAATATATGTATTTGTTGAACCAAGCAATTGTAGGTTCTTTTTTGAGACAGAGCCTCAAGCTATCCTCCTGGGTAGAGTGCCATGGCATCACTCTCACAGCAACCTCCAACTCCTGGGCTCAAGCGAGTCTCCTGCCTCAGCCTCCCAAGTAGCTGGGACCACAGGCGCCTGCCACAGCGCCTGGCCATTTTTTGGTTGCAGCCATCATTGTTGCTTGGCGGGCCCACGCTGGGGACTCGAACCCGCCACCTTAAGTGTATGTGGCTGGCGCCCTAGCCGCTTGAGCCATAGGCGTCGAGCCCAATTGTAGGTTCTTAAGCAAGGACAATACCATGATGAAAGTATGTGAAATTTTGGCCACATCTAGAAGTTTCAGGGGCCCAAATTTTATTTATCTATACTGAGAATAGAGTCACATTGCTCATGGTGAGTGAGGCTTACAGGTGTCCTGATAATTGTTCTAGGGCTTGACCACAAAACTGGGGTATGGATGGAGAAGACAATATAGTTCTAGATCTATTAATTCCTGGGTATCTTTGTTATCTGCTCCTTCTTTTTTTCACAGTCTGCTGAATTGCTTTGTTAATGAGGGGAGGAAGAAAATGTTTCTTTTAGAGGTGTGCCACCACAACAGAAAGCTCATCAGCATAAACTGTTCCAAAATAACACAAAAGCTACTCAACCTACTCTTCTTTGTGGCAGTGGTGAACTGTTCTTTTTCTGCATAGCTTTTGCCCTGCCTTGGTTTCCACTGCTCTTTCTGCATTTACAGGCCTTTGGTGGCTAGAGAGGACTGCTAGTCTGTGTTTTCATGATCATTTAACAACCTACTGTCCTTCAGAGAGAACATTGCAAATTATGTGTGTTTAAGTCATTGTAAACATACATGAGATAGCCTTGGCGTTCAGGATCTAGCTAGGAAGTTGGATAGATAGCTCAAGGCTTATTGGGTAATGGATGGTGAGGCAGCAGGGATGAAAGCCTGGTTTTGTTGGCCATCAAGCACTGGAGACTTTTATGACCCATCTAAAAACATTGTTCATTACTCAAGAACCTTAGTAGAAGTCTGAAGGGATACTCTATTAAGGATTTTAATTTAGCCTCATATTGGTAACTTTTCACATAACTGAACCTCAGTGCTAGATCTTTTAAAATTTTTGCTATTTTTGAAGTAAGTCTTCTTACAGATTGTTGTGATGAGTATTCACTTTCTTTGTATGACTTAAAGCATGCTACAGGGCCTCTAGGTACTATTCCCCCAGTACCTAGATGATTATATACATTGTGATTGCTTCTTATAATTCTCCTGTCCCTTCTTTGATTAATTCTCATTTCTAATTTCTGTATCTACTCTGAGCTATTAAATTAGACTTATGGTAAATTGAGACTCAGTAGGCACATTATAGAAAAACATAAAATCATTTGTGTGTGTGTGTGTGAGACAGCTCATCTGGTTGCTCTGGTGTCGTCTTTGTTTGCTTTTGTTATGCATGGCAGAGGCTGTGTATTGTGTATCCTTCAGATGAACAAAGCTGGCTGGCAGGGAATTCTAATAGGTTGGCAGTATGAGAGTTTAGGACCTGTGTTCTTTTCAAACCTCTGGTGGGGACATTGCCTATGCGCAAAGGATTTCATGTGTTGAATGTTCTGTCAGGTTTTCAGAACTGTCTAAGGTGGATAGACAAGGGCCTACCTAAAACCACTGTCCCCTGATAGTACTAAACACTTTCAGAGCAGTGTTATTTTCTTTTTTGGAGCCTACATAGAAAACTAGGGCATTTATTCAACCATTAAGCAAATTCTTTTTTTGAGACAGAGCCTCAAGCTGTCGTCCTGGGTAGAGTGCTGTGGCATCACAGCTCACAGCAACCTCCAACTCCTGAGCTCAAGTGATTCTCTTGCCTCAGCCTCCCAAGTAGCTGGGACTACAGGCGCCTACCACAATGCCTGGCTATTTTTTGGTCGCAGTTGTCATTGTTGTTTGGCAGGCCCCAGCTAGAGTCGAACCTGCTAGCTCTGGTGTATGTGGTTGGCACCTTAGCCGCTTGACCACAGGCGCTGAGCCCCATTAAGCAAATTCTTACTAAATACTAGTAATTCCACAATAACCAAAATGGATAAGATCCTTGCTTTTATGGAGCTTGCATCCTAGTGATCTATATGTGCAAGTGATTAAATGATAAGAAAACTTTGACATTAGACACAACTCTGATCAGATTATGGTAGTTTAGTGGCTTCTCTCCTTTGGTTTTTCTCAGGGTAAAATGGGTAATAATTCCTACCCTGCAGAGTTATTGTCAGGATTAAGTAAGAAAAATATTGTTAAATGTTCTCAATACAAATAAAGAACTCTTAAATTTGACAATAGAAAACAAGAAATTCCATAAAAAATGGGGTTGTATTGAATGACTGAGCCATATCTTTATAGCAGCATGGTACTGGGCTGAGAAGGGAGTCCTAAGCAAGGGTGTGCACATTTTGGGGCTGGGGATAGGAAGGTGGCAGTATGAACATAGGAAGCTGCAGATCTACTTAGGATTTGGGTATGGTGTCTCGTGTAGAAGTATAGCACAGGGTTAAGAGCTTATGCTCTGGAATCAAATAGACTTGACTCTGCCTTTTACCAGGTATCTGTCTTTTACCATGTATCAGCTGTGGAAACTTGGAGAATTTACAGAATCTCTTTCTGCCTCAGTTTCTTCATTAGAAATTGGAGTAATCGGGCTGGGTGGGGTGCCTCACGCCTATAATCCTGGGAGACCGAGATTTGAGTTCATGAGTTCAAGACCAGCCTGAGCAAGAATGAGACCCTGTCTCTAAAAAATAGCCAGGTATTGTAGCAGGCGCAAGAGTCCCAGCTACTTGGGAGGCTGAGAAAAGGATCACTTGAGCCTAGGAGTTTGAGGTTGCTGTGAGCGTGACGCCACGGCACTCTACTGAGGATGACAAAGTGAAACTCTGTCTCAAAAAAAAAAAATGGACGGTGCCTGTGACTCAGTGCTCAGTGAGTAGAGCACCAGCCATATATACTGATGGTGGCGGGTTCAAAACCTGCCCTGGCCAAACTACAACCAAAAAATAGCTGGGTGTCGTGGTGGGCACCTGTAGTCCCAGCTACTTGGGAGGCTGAGGCCAAAGAATCTCCAAGCCCAAGAGCTGGAGGTTGCTGTGAGCTGTGATGCCCTGACACTCTACCAAGGGCAACAAAGTAAGATACTGTCTCAAAAAAAGAAAAAAGAAAGAAAAAAAATTGGAGTAATAATAATAGTAATCTCATAAAATTGTAAAGATTAAGTGGATAAGGCATACAAAACTCTGAGTACAATGATCACATAGAAGAGGTTTGAAAAAAGTTACTTTTTATAGTTATTATTATTTAGTTATTGTTACCATGGCAAAGAACATAGATTTTGATGCAAAACTTGGCTTTGCCATTTGTTGGCTGTGTGACCTCAAGCAAGTAACTTTACCTCCCTGAGTCTTGAATTTTTTCTTTCTTTTTTTTTTTTATTGTCATAATCTTTTATTATATATCAAATTGTCTTCAATATAAGTTACAACCTGATTAAATTTGATAGACATTTTTCTTTTTTATCTATTTAAAGACAAAAGAAAAAACTCTCTGTATGTACAATATCTCTTGCCTAGAGTCTAGCAAATATAGTACCTTTCATTGCAGGATTTCTGCTTAACATAACAAGCAAAAATAAACAAGCAAAAAAAATATATAAACCAAAAGCAAACCAAATGCCCCTCAACTACAAGTATCAATATTGAATAAAGCATTAAAAGACAAACATACAATGACCTTTTTAGTTTAGAAATGCAGAATGAATACCAAAATTAGTGGCCAGAAAACCCCTAAAGAAACCCAACAGTCTTCTGGGGTAAATTTTCCTGCTCAGGGATATAAGCTGACTCTAGACCATGTCTCAGTTTCTGCCGATAGCGCAGCACAAGATCATACTGAAGATCATGCCAAATATCATGACCACAGCAATGCCGATGCCTACTGCACCAATGATGTGGAATTTGCTGTTGAAGACATCTTTGATGGCCTCTGGGCAGGGCTTCACTAAAAGGGAATCAATTGAGTCTGTCTTGGGGCAGATGTCCGAGATAAATTGTTCCATGCCCCCAGCAATACCATAGCAGTGCAACGCATAGTGAATGGCTTTTAGCATTTCCCGCTGGGGCTCATCCTTGTTTTTCAGCTTGCTGTAGGTGTCCTTGTAAAATTCTTGGACATCCATAATCACCTCCTCTTTGTGGGAATAGCCCCAGATGGCTGCAGCTATCTCAATGGCAAATATCACCAAGAGGAAGCCAAAGAACAAGCCCAGCATGCACTGGGACTCCTGCACGGCACCACAGCAGCCCAGGAAGCCCACCAGCATCGTGAGGGCACTGGCTCCAATTAGAATGTAAACTCCTGTGTAGAAGCTGGAATGATTATTCTGATTTTCTTGCTCAAAGATACTTTTGGTCTGAGAGTCAAATCGGAGCCACAGTCCAATGGCCAGGACTGCAATTCCTGCAAGCCAGAAGATGAAGTTAAAACCGAAAAGCAGGTATTTGATGCACTTGACGCCTCCTTTGACCGGCATGGTGAAAGCTAGACTGGCCTCAGCTGGAGTGGTGCAGGACTTGGGTGCGCGCTCCTGGGACGGACAAAACAGAAGCTGGACAGCGGTGCTGGTGGCTCTTGAATTTTTTCCAATGATTTGAGGAGGAATGTTGCAGGGATGTTGTAAGAATTTCATGTGTGCAAAGCCCTAAGCACAATGTCTGGCTCATGATTGGTGCTTAAATTCATAATTCATGTTTTTTTTCCTCCCTAAGCATGAAAGTCGTAAGGGCTGACCTGCACAGCAAAATTCCAAATCAACTCTCTCATCATCTCATGACACCACAGCATTCAGCTATGGCCATCTGCCCCAGCAGTGTGGCTGACTTGACCAGGCCCAGGATACTGCAGAAGGTAGTGCTGCCTTTGCCTGAGTGATTAATATTAAGGGAGGGAGGCATGATAGAGCAGGATTTCTAGGGACTACAGCTTTTTGGCAGCTCACCTAGCTTTCTGCCTATTCTTGTGTATTTTAAGAAAGGTAAAGGTCGACTTCCTCTTGAGAAGACCATAATAGCCTTATATCATAAAGCCTAGACTGAACTATTTTGGCTGGGTTTAACTGGTCTTTTTTTTTTTTTAGAGACAGTCTCACTTTATTGCCCTAGGTAGAGTGCAATGACGTCACAGCTCACAGCAACCTCCAGCTCTTGGGCTTAGATAATTCTCCTGCCTCCGCCTCCTGAGTAGCTGGGACTATAGGCGCCCACCACAATACCTGGCTATTTTTTGTTGCAGTTTGGCCAGGGCCGGGTTTGAACCTGCTACTGGGTTTAACTGTTCTAAAAGCTAGTTATGGGTGTTGGGGATGAAAGCTGAATAGTCTTTCCCTGAAATGGCACTGTATAATTTCCACTTGGGGAATACTCAGTTCCACCTTGTGATTCCTGGCAGAATAAACTTGATTTTTCTAGCCCAGCAGTGAAGAAGGAGAGGAATCCATTGCCTTTTAAAGTTTGTTCTGTGATTTTCTTTGTAAAAGTTCCTAATTGTTTTTGTAAAGTAGAATTTATGGGTAGAACACCTTTCCTTTAGTTGCACAAAAAATAAAACCATTTTTAAAGTCAAAAA